CTTTCCCTATTGATTGGTATTAGAAAGACAAACACCTGTAGTAATATGTAGACTGCCCTTGTGTGCAAAGGCATATTTGTAGTTCTTTCTAGCAATTTACTTGGCTTGCAGACTAGGAGAAAAGATGAGCAGATTATGCAGTTCTAATTTCTGCAGGGATCTGGGATATGAGTTCAAATTAAGTAATTCAGGCCTTTGTGGAAGCCACTTTAAGTGAAAAGGAAATAACACGCATTGAAGAACCATTGTTTATTGAGAGGACGTGATGACAAAGGACAAAGGAATATACCCTGGGGCTTGTTGATTTTTCTAAAAGGTTTTGGCTGTAATCTTAGACTCCCAGGTTTAGAGAAAGCTACAATTTCCAATACATTGCTTGTTAATATAATGTTAATTTCACCTGTTGTCTAGATTCCTTTAATTCTAAAACACACAATAGTTGTTCATTCTGTTAAAGTACTAAAAAGTTCCGAAAGTTCAAAAATAATTTATTGGAGAGTATCAATGCCGTGCTTACTTACCTTCAGGGTTGCCTTTCAAATGAGCTTTTAACAAAATCCCAAAGCAAGATGATGATGTATGCATGGTATTCAGAGAGTGAAAATCACTCCCCGGAGATATTGTGAGTAATTGAAGATGAGCATAGGGATAGAAAATCGTTATGAGGGCTTATTTTAGTTATGCTCACTATGTGCCAGGGCTGTACTCTTAGCACATTCGGCATATTTTCAACCACTCTGAGACTGTACAGGTCTCAGGAAGACGTTTTTAAAATTTGTTTGTGTGTTTATGTATATAAAATTCACTCAGTGTTTTCTTTAGTTTTACACCATCCTAAAAATGTAGAAAAGCCCTGTAAATAAATTATATTTGCTTCCTTTTCTCCCAATCTATACAAGTGTTTTAGTTAGGGACGCTGTAGAAAGAGTTCCTGAAGTGTTAAAGGAAAGTGTTCTTTATTTTGATTTGCATGAAAAAGTCCGCTTCATTTCAGGTTTCACTTCCAGAGTCAATCATTATGGATATAACCCTGCGATAACTTTTGAAAAACTGGTAGAATTCTCTGTCCTTGCTCAGTTTTATTTTCTAAGCAGGCCCATTTCCCTAGTTCAAAATCTTAGCACTCACAGGCACCCCAGAAAAGCGCCCCGGCACCGCCCACCTGGGACGGGTACGAATCACAAGCTTCTGCGAGTTGATGGACGCGTCAGCGCTGCGCCAAGCCTCGCCGCTGTCATTACTGGACACTGGTGATTGGTTGCGGTGGGACGGCGCGGAACCAATGGGAGCGGTGACCCAGGAGAGTCCACGTAGCGCGCGGAAAAGAGACCAATATAAACTGTGGCGGGAGATTTCGTTTTCGGGTTCTTGTCCCGTGAAACACCCTCGGCTGGAAAGTCAGTTGCTTGCTTTCATCTCCTCGCATTCGAACATGGTGCGGACTAAAGCAGACAATGTCCCAGGCACTTACAGAAAAGGTGAGGCAGTCGAGCACAGTAGTAGACTGCAGGGGGTGCTCCGGGTAGCCTGGCCGAAGGCGAGAGAGGCTGAGTTCCCCCCACGGCTCTGTGCGCCAAACTGGTCCAGCCAGGCCGGAAGCAGTGGCTCGGCCCCTTAACCAGGAGGAAGAAGCGGCGGGGACAGGGGAGGGTTATCTTGCTGTTCTGCATCGTGCGGCGCACCTGCCTAAGTGGTTGGGTCGGGACTGTGGTCAGAACGTGGCTATGAGACTTGGTGTCGGAACTTACTGCCTCCTTCTGAACTCTCTCCTTTGCGTCTCTCCGCAGTGGTGGCTTCTCGAGCCCCCAGGAAGGTGCTTGGTTCCTCCACCTCTGCAACTAATTCCACATCGCCTTCGTCAAGGAAAGGTAAAAAGCGTCCTGGAGGAACCTTCTCCAAAGGGGATCAGGCCTGGCACCATACTTCTCCCGACCTGCGAGCCCCCTGACCTATTGTGGAATTTATTTTCCTGAGATCCTCACGCCCTAATTTCTTCCTTGCCCTCTATTATAATGAGGGGGCCGTTACTTGGAGAGCTAGGGTAGAGGTAGGGATCACATTGAAAAGAATCTCAAGCCTTGGAGTTAGGGACGGACACAGTTTACCTTCGAATCTACTTTTTTCTAGTCTAGCATGTTTACTTTTAACATTGATCGACAAATGGCTTTTTCTTGTAAGAGGCTATGTAAGCGTCCCTTTACTAGATAAGAATTAGGAAGATAATCATGTTATCTTCTTGGTGTAAATGTTTTTGTTTTTATTTCTGCATGTTTTTCTTTTCTTCCTTTTTTTTTTTTTTTTTTTTGAGTGTGAAGCGTCTGTATGTTTTCAGTTCCTGATACTGCCTTTGGGACCTAGTAGTGAAAACTTGACCAGGGATATAGCTTCACACTGCTCCTGGGCAAGGAGAGGTTGAGAAAATACCGAGCCATCCGGTGTGTCATTCCTTTCAGTAGGAAACTAAGCAGTAAGGAAGATCAAATTCGCAAGTTCTAGTTAAGAAGGTACAAGGGAGCATTGTTAAGTTCGTCACGGGGGAAGTTAACTCAAACGTCCCCTTATTCAAAACATTTCATTAGAAAATATTTACTATTTCAGTCTCTTTAGATAAAAAATAATAAATAGGTCAAAAATTTTGAAAGTTGATGTGTACCCTTTATTACTAAATTCCAATTAGAGCACATTTCATTGTCTGGCCCACTGTTCAAACGCAACTGAATAGGCCCTTAATGAACTTGTGTTGGAGAAACACACCTATTAAGGCATTTTACATATTTCTGTTTTCAATCAATATTCAATTGTATGAAATTGGTAATATCCTCATTTTAAAGATGAAATTTTAGCTCGGGTTACATACCTCTCAGTAAAGGTCACACAACTAAGTCTGCAGAGCTAGGTTTGAATTCTGTGCTGAATACACTTTCTGAATATCTGTTGCTGCTGTATACTTTCTAGTAATGAAAGCATTCTCATAAGGTTCCTTCAGGAAAATTGTGAACCAAAGAATAACTATTTCTTAAAGGCCACGTGTACTTTTAAAAAAGTACAAGCTATATAACTTCAGACAGTATAGGTAAATACTTTTGTAAGTTTTCTTTACGACAGCTAGAGTTCGTGATGTGTCTAAAGCAAGGGATATATGTGCAACTTAATAATTTGTTTCTCTTGATATTCTAATCATTACTTTATAAAAAAGGGTAGGAATAGTCCCTCAATTTTTCCTTTATATCACTGTTTTAAAATAATCAGGAATTGGATTTACCTTATGAACTGAAAAGGAACCAAGTTCTTTGAAAAATGGAACTTATTTATGTGGAAACTTTCACTTTGCTGAACACTACTTGCTTAACTTTCTATATGTGCTCTAACTAAATGACCTTACTAATTGAAAATGTGGCAGTTTATACTACGTAGTGCTACCTTATATTAGGAAAAAGTGTGTCAAACTTTAGTATGACAGTACAAAAGACTGAATAGCTCTTGTAGACAAAATATGAAAAATATTTTCCAGTTGTAAAAATTCCATTAATGCTATTCTAAAGGATATACATTATTTTATAATACTGTTTAGTGTACTATTGACTGAATACAGCTCTATTTTGTCACATTTTCTAATTATTTTAAGATGGATATAATACTATTTAATACCCTTTAGATTCGATGTTAAAATTAAGTTTCTTTTTAAGGAATGGCTATTGTATTCTTAGTTATTTAGTTCCATTTGTTTATATTTGATAGCTGAAAATAAGTATGCAGGAGGGAATCCAGTTTGCGTGCGTCCAACTCCCAAGTGGCAAAAAGGAATTGGAGAATTCTTCAGGCTGTCCCCTAAAGATTCTGAAAAAGAAAATCGGATTCCTGAAGAGGCAGGAAGCAGTGGCTTAGGAAAAGCAAAAAGAAAGTAAGTTTATATATTCTGGAATATAAAGAAAATATATTCTTGAAAATAAAAGACAAGAGGATATTGAGTAACTTTAAAGTTTCTCCTTGAGCAAATAAGAAAATACAAACCACAGGGTTTTTAAAACTTGTGTTATTCTCTTATTAAAATTTTCAGACATCAATGAAAAGTATTTTTATTCATTCCAGTCACTTAAAGAAGATCAGTGCCCATTAAATGCTATTTTATTAACTATGAACTTCCTGTCTTTGTTCTTTAAATTTTACTGTTTTCTATAGTCTTTTTTGCAAAAAAGCAATTTCCATGTTAGTTTATCTAGCTTGGATTCCATTAACCCCAACCCTCAAAAAAACTATTAGTTCAGCCTCCATAAGAAATATTATAACCAATGCAGAAAAGTTAGAAAATATAGAAAAACTCCATCACTTAGAAACAACCAAAACTAACACCATGGTGTATTTTCTCTATAACTTCCCTATAAATCCATAAGAATACTTTAAAACAAGGTGGGAATAAAACTACACACAGAATTTAGTGTGCAAACTTTTTAAGAAGATAATTCATGCTTTTTAAGCTTTTAATATGAGGACAATGCTTATGATGAGTGTTAAGCAAAAATTGTGGATGCAAAAGTACAATCTTTATTGTGTGAAAGACATGTACATAAATATATCAAATAGCAATAGAGATCATCTCTGGGTAAAAACCTCTTCTATACTCTCTTTGCTATCAATTTTCAACAACGAATATACTTTTAAGAATCAGGGAAAAAAATAATGCCACTCAGAAAAAAAGACAATAGAAACCTGCTTTTAAAAGTATAGATTTATAAGTGATAGGGTCCAGGCTGTCTAAACAACTTTGAAATATTTTGTATTGAAAACAAATTATTTGACTGAGGGTGGGCAATGGTGAGCATGGGTGGGTGAGTGGTGCCACATCACTGCTATTATGATGCCTCCTGATTTAAGATCCTGCCAGCTACCTTGCTGCACCATTCAAGAGTCCATGATCCTCCAGGACACCAAGCTGCAGGCTGGACCCAAGGTGCAGTGACCAACATGAGCAAGGGGATGCTGGTCAGGCTCAGTTTGGGGCTACTGCTTCTAGCCTTGCATCTGCCTACGCAGATTTATTCATACCTTCTGCCGTCCACGCCGCCACCACCACCACAAATCTCAACCAGTAGTGTCCTGCCTTTAATAGCCAGTTTCCATGTAGTCTTGTTTGCGCTTCTACATCTCTACCTTTAAGAGACTCGGGCCAAGTAACATCCACAGTTCACCAACCCATATTCCACAGCTCAATCCATATGGCATCTTGAAGTCTAGTGTGATAAGGAAAAAAGTCTTCATCAAATCTACTAATTGTTAATCTACTAACAGAAAGTTTTGAGAGTCTCATATTGGACTGCTTTAAAGAACATCTGAAGATTTGAGTAGATAATGAATGCCAATATTAAATCTGGACTTTCACGTACAAGAATGAAGAGAGAGACAAAATTGAAAATTAATGATGATTAAAAGTAACTTGAGAAGTATGGATACTTAAAACTTTGCCTTAAAAATAAGAATAGTTTCACCTTGATCTAGAGAAACGGGATGAGCTATGGAATGAAGATTCTGTTTTCAATTTGATTCATTAAATCTAGAAGGCAGCAAAATGATTAAGTAATATGTTGATTTTATTTCTACGTACTTCAGAAGGAACCACCAGGTATTACTATAAATCCTCTATGTATTTCAGCAGTCTTCATTTAATGCTACTGTACTCTACATAAAGTTTTACATTAAGTTTTCACTGTCCTCTGGGGAACCTTTTCCTCTGGGGCTCTGTATTTGACATTGCATTTGATTTCATGTGGTAATTGACATTGCCATGATGGATTGGATTCATTACAAATCTAACTATGAATACCTTTTACATATACAATTAAGAGTAAGTGACAGGTATTTCCTGTCACACATTTCCATCCAACAAGAGTATCAGATTCACTTATTTGGATAGTTTAAATTAATTCCAAAGATTAGAAGTGCATTGACTTCAATCAGTCTTAAATACTGCTTTTTATTTATGCATATGTTAAATAATTTTTACAACTTAAAAATTTATCTGTTTTGAAAGCATATTTACCAAATCTTGAAATTAAGAGGCAAATATGTAAAAGAGGCAAAAATAATGTATATTAGGTATTTTGGAAGTGAAGTCTGTAAAATTACCTGCATTAAATTCACAACTCTTTTGAGCTCTTTCTATAAATATTTTTTTAAAAAGCTTTATGAATCAGGATGGCTACATTTGGAACACTCTGTATATCAGTCAATGTTTTTAGATATTTAGAATCTAGTCCTAAACCTAAGTGAACTTGATTCTGGAAATTAAAACATTTCCTGCTGCTTTAACATACGGAAACCTTTTTAGATGAAATCTTTGGTTCACATGTTCACACACTGATGCTTAGATGTTACAGTATCCAGCATGGCCATAGTACTCTTAATAAGTCTTAAACTAGTATTTGCCATCTTAGAAACCTGTAAGGAAAAACTAGATCCAACAGATCTTAAGTTATGTGAGAGCTATGTGTGTAAATGAACACTCCCTTTTGCTTCATATCTGAATATTACATCTGTTTTGGATTGTATATTGTTTGAAATTGATTTGCATTGAACACAAGCTAGATAAAATAAATGGCTGAAAAAACAATTAAAACAAAGTGATATATAAAATGATGTTTATGCATATAAAATTTTAAGAATTCTATACTGTTCATAAGGTCATTTAGTAAATGGTTATCGAGGCTTACTCTCTTATGAGATATTTAAAAGGAAAGTCAAACTCTGAAGCAGTAACTAAATTTTAGACTTTGTTGCTATATCATTATTATTATTTCCAGTGTCAAAAAAAATCAACCAAAGTGATACATTTTTGGATAGTCTTTTAATAGACTTGCTTTCATGATCCTGTAAGTCTCTTCCACTTCCTTCTTGTTGTCTGGCACCATTTTTCCTTGTTCATTCTCATTCCAATATGAACAAGCTAATAGTGAATATCAGCACGAGAATATATTACAATCTTTTTAAATTATTTATGACTTCCATTAAGGAAACAAAGTATTTGGTAGTATAGCCAAATATGGCCATACCATTGATCATGGTAACAACAAAGCCTGTATTACAGGCTTTCCATTATATGGAGAAAGATGACATATATATTCTCAGAAAGAACTTGAACCATAATATTATACAAAGTTTATATTATTCCTTTAGCCCCTTTCTTAGATTGTTCTTTGTTTAGGAGAGTTGTAATTACCCCTTTATTGATAGCAATGCAAATCGATAGCTTAACTATTGATAGTAAGTAGTAAACTATTAGTTTATCAGAAGGACTTCTGCTGTTAACTCCCTAATTCTTAATGGAATATGGCTACTCCTATGGCTTTATTTTTCTCACAAAGGCAAGGTAAACTCCATCAGTTGCATAGGGGAGAGTCAGAATCAAGAAAGACTACCTACTTAAAACCTTGGACAGAATCATGATACCTAAAGTAAATCAGGTCCTTGCAAAAAAGGAAGTTTGGTTCATGATAGTGTTCATTTGTTAACTTGATTTAATTTCCAGGAAAATACAATGAAGACCTCTCAGTAATCTAATTTGTGAGTCAATGATAATCTCATACCAAGTAATAATACCTTCGTTTTAGCTTCCTTCTTTGACTACCTAGCTGTATGACCATTCAGGCTTACTGGACCTAATTTGAAAACTGATTCTTTTAGAATAGATCTCACAAATTTTTAGTAGTTCTAAAAAAAATTCTGATTTATGATTAAGTTTTTAATTGACTTTTTCTCTATAAAGAGTATAATGTGTACAAATGGCTTTGGGATAATATAAATTATTTTTCAAAAGTTACAACCATGTAACTCCAGTTTTTAAAAGCTTTTTTTCCATTTTTTTATTGCCCCTTGTAATTATTTAAAAAAATTAGCCAGCTTAAACAATTTATTTTTTTAAAATTAGGTAATACATTCATATGGTTCAAAAGGGTATACAATCAAATATGACAACCTTAAACAATTTATTTTTTTTAAATTAGGTAATACATTCCTATGGTTCAAAAGGGTATACAATCAAATATGACAACTTGCTGTTTTCTCTGCTCTAGTGGATTATTAATTTTTTTTGCTTTTATTTATCACAAAGTTCTTGCCAAAAGATCATATTCCTCTTTTATCATCCACTTAATATGTTGAAAGACGATACTATAGAAATAGAGTCCCTTTTTAATAAAAATAGTAACATATTCTAATGGAGAAACACTAATTCAGCAAATTAACAGGCAAAATAAATTGTTAAAAGATTTATTGTTCTAGTACTTGAAATTTATAGGTGTTTGTCAATTAATGGAGTTTAATTTTCTTTCATTTCTAGTCATTTGACCAGACCTACTGCACTGTTAATTAATGTTCCTATGTTTGTAACTTTGTTTTTATAAAAGTTTATATTGACTGTTATTCTCTGATCTTTCTACAGAGTATGTCCTTTGCCACCTGATCACACAGATGATGAAAAAGAATAGAACTTTTTTATTCATCTTTGACTAATGTCTCCTGTTTATTCTGGTATCCTAGGATGTAAATTTGCATAAATGTATTTGTTCCAATTAACTTTGTTGAATAGGAATTTAATTTAAAAAATGAGGTTACATATAGTTATGCAAAAGCAAGTAGTTATGATATTAGAGAGTTTGTAAGATTAATCACGGTTATTTACCTTAGTATTCAATATAATGTGGTATTTGGTTTCTTTTACCTGTTGTTAAACTTCTTGTTCTTGCTAAAAACAAATCATTGTGTGATGTTCTAATTACAAATCTGCTGTATTTGAGATTTGCTTGGATCTTTGTACTGCTGCCATTTTTATTGGCACTAGAGTTTTGGAATGATGCCATATTTTTGTTCTTGTATTTTGCTTTAAAAAGCAAAGTTAAACTTCTGCATATTAAAAAAAAATCAGTATTAATTAAACTGAACCTACATCCTTTTTAAGAAGGGGGGTAAAAATGCAATGTTGAAAAAATTTGGATGGCTGTCTTAGAAAAATGTAAGGCAATTTGCTCCTGAGGGTTTATTTTAAATGGTCGATAAAGCTTCTAACAACAAAAAAAGATAAAATACTTACAAAGAATCAAGCAGGAAGAATTCATAGACTCCATTAAAAAAGGACTATGCATTTGATTTGGTATCATAAAATATTACCTCTGGGCCTATACTTTTAAATTTGGAAATCAACAAAACATGAAAAGCAAATCATGCCATTCCCAGAGCTATGTCTAAAGTCCTTAGAGCTACCATTATATTTTTCAAGATAACCAGGGCAGAAGTATAATTGAAGAGGTGGGTATAGTAATACTTAGTAACAGGAATTCTTGCTTCCTCATCACATTTTTTACTCACTGACATCTGTTGTCAAAACTAGTCATGTTTTAACAGGCAGGTTTTTCTGAAGTTTGTTTTTAATAAATGAATACTTGTTTTCACAATAGACTATATCCATTTGTGTGCTTCCTAAGATTATATTCTACTAGATACTTCTATTTTATTACTTCCAAATACAGATCAGTGCATTGACCTGATTTCAACTTTCAAACTGCACCCTGATGACTGTAGATTATATTTTTTTTGTCTTTTAGAGGTAACTATTAAATGGAATGTTACTGAAGTGCAAGTAGAATTTTTATTCTAAGTACTTCCTTGATAATTAGGCTTCTTATTAAGGAGTAGCTCAAATGAACACTATTAAAGCCAAGTTTTGATGTGTCTGAAAACTGATTTGTTGTTTTTGACTGATGGAAACTTTTTTGGTGGTGTGTTCAATGAAGTCTAATTTTGATATATAATTGTTTCTAAGAAAGTTTGACCTAAAGAAACAATCTTTTTAAATATACAACATTTGATGATGTCTCATTTTTATTAGGCAGAGGTCCCATGTATCGGTTACCTTGTCAAAGCTTTTTGAAACGTAGATTGGCAATTTAGCCTCTTCTAAACATAAGGGAAGTACAAACTTCCTGTTTCCATTGAAATTGAATTAAAAAATAAAATGTATACATAATTAAGTTTGTAATTTTATACCCTTCACAAAGTTAATCTGGTGTTCTTCTTTGAATAGATTATTCAAATTATTAATATTAGTGTTAAATTCCTGGCCAAACAATGATTAAAATCACTTTTCTGGACTTTTTGAATGCTAGGACATTGTGAGGATCATATGTATTTTGTGTTTATATAGTTTCATAAAGGAAGAGCAATACTAGAGCCAAAATTATAGTGTGCTCAGTTATTTATAAGATGACAAATACTTAATCATTTTTCAAAAAGTAAAGCCTAACCTAACCGAACCTTTCACATATGTATATATACACAGCTTACAAATCTCACTGTATTTAGAATCCCTTGGGCCAGTGGTCCCCAACCTTTTTGGCACTAGGGATGAGTGCTCGTATGAGAATCTAATGCCTGATGATCTGAAGTGGAGTTGAGGCTGTGATGCTAGCACAGGGGGTGGCTGCAAATATAGAGGAAGCTTTGCTTACTCGCCTGCTGCTCACTTCCTGCTGTGTGGCCTGGTTGGGTCCACAGCCCAGGGGTTAGGGATCCTTGCTTTAGGCTAACTCATTTTCGGAAAAATTGAAGGTTCAGCTGGGCCTTTGTCCAACCAACATTGTTATAATGGTTCCTTTTACCTCTGAGGATAGCATATGGAAATTGGAACGATTTTCACTGACTCAGAACTGGGAGGAATGTTAGAAGGCATGCAGTTGTTCAGTAGGGAGACTGTTTAATTGATTGACAGCTCATTGTGAAAAATGTTATGAGTTAAGAATTTTTCTAACTCCCCTCTTCCTAGTCTTGGTTCTGTCCTTGACATGACACAAAACACGTTATTCCTTCCACATAACAACCTTCAAGTAAAGATAGGTGTTATATCTTTAGCATTCTCTTCCTAAGGCTAAACATTCTGTCACATATCCCAAATGAGTTTCTCTAAGTCCCTTGTATAAGGGGCTGTGTATTTTGTGTTGTATATTGCTTAACATAAATGATAAATTGGCTACATTTCTTGTAACTGATCCCAAGTATTCATTAATTATTAGACTAGTTTTGGTATCTTTTATATTTGGAAATGCCAATGGAACGCATTGGCATCTGTCTATTTGAATATTAATCACTCTAGAAACATTTAAGTATTAATTATTGAGTAATAGAGTTGTGTGTCCAAAAAATAAACATTAGGTACCCTAATTTTTTTAAATAATTACAAGGGGCAATAAAAAAATGGAAAAAAAGCTTTTAAAAACTGGAGAAAAAAGCTAGTCATACTGATCTTTCCATAGGACACATTTGCCATAATCATGTTTTAAAATTTTTAGAGACATCTGAGTCCACCCGAGTTTTAAATAAGTCATTGTTCATTGGGCTCATAGTTTTATTTTCTAATTAATTTTTTTTTAATATTTAAACCTGTTGGCAATTGAAATGCCAAGCTCTATTTTGTCATGGTAATGGTTTATCACTTGTCATTTACAGCCACATTTTTTTAAAGAGCAATTACCAAATGTGTTCAGATTCCATTTGAATTGCGTGTGTACATACTTCCTCATGTGTGCATGTCCACGAGAAGGCTTGAAATGTTTTAGACCTATTAAACAACCTACTACTAACATTTGAATCTGAACTGATTTTCTAAAAGTTTTGCTGAAGC